GGAAAATGAGGAGAAAGAGAATTCAGTCTGTTTGGGTTTTTATCGAAATCCAGGCAATGCTGTGGCTTTGAGTGTGCGTTGGTTGTAAAATATGAAATGTTTTTAATCAAATAAATCATTGAGTAATAAAATCTTCCTTTATTATTTTTTATTCTAAAAAAAGTTGTTATCGTTTAACGTGCTTGCTTTAAAGTTTTACAATAATTGTGACAAACGTGAGCTTGTCCTTATTATCACATTAAAATAAATTAAACGATTAAACGATTAAACAGCTAATGCCATTTCATAATTTTCATGAAAAAGTTGTCGAGAGAGAAGTAGAAAACCACTTCATCTTGCCTCAAACTCTCCAAATGCAATGTTTATTTTCCATGATTGTTGTACAAAATTTAATGAAGAAATTTTTTACTTGATTAATAACAGTAAGTTCTAGTTAGTGTACAGCGTATGGAAAGCTAACGTATTTTGAGGCAGAGCCCAGTTGCTCTGAACTTAATACATTTTTTTCAGCAGTTCATCGAGAAACGGCCCCTTATATGATGTCGATAATGAATCTGATTATAGTAGTTTTTTTCAGCAGTTGATTTCACATAAACATAAGGCGAAAAAATATATAGGAAAGAACAATCAAATTTGTTTGCGGTACTTTAGTCCGTGGAAAAACTATTATATTAACAAAAGCAAAAAAAAAAAAAAAAAAATACCACTTTATGAATTAATAATCGATGTAGGGAAAACACATTCTCATTATTACCAGAATTCAGAACGGTCTTTTCCGGCATGGTAGCAGCCTCCTAGGTGTGCTCGTTCTCATTTACACCAGTGTCATTGTAGGCTAATTTTAAAGCAAGTTATATAGCAGTAATTGGCAAGTTGTATGATAATAACAGGTAAGCAAATTGCTGGTTTTCCAGAAGTCTTGTGTCCCCTCAGTGCAATTTTCGAATATTGCAAAAATCAATAGGTATATCGTTAGCTTGTTGTGGGTTTTAACACAATGATTTACCAGTTAAGAGCTTTCCTGATATTTGATCGAAATCCAATACTTTACTGCTTAAGTCTCATCTTGCACTCATTATGATCGATTTTTCTGCTGGGAATATTGAAACTGCACTGTGATTATTCTGTAATGTGTTAAACCTAGTTATATCCGATCAGACAACTTCGCCCTCGAAGAAAGTGGCCGCCATGGTTTAATGAGACTATTAAATATTACGAAAGCAGAAAAAACAAACTTCAAAAAATTTATGAAAAGTTGTTTTGCTTATGACTACTTTGCCTTAAGGCACAGATTTAGTTACCCCAATCATCAAAGTTATTGCAGATACTTTCAGTTGATAAAATCCTTATTGCTTCTTAATCTTCTTAAGGTTTCTTTCAATGGCTCTGAGCACTCTGATGATATTGAAACCTCAAATCTCTTTGCTGAATACTTTCGACAAAATTTTTGAACTGCTGGTTCCCATTTAACTGTTCGTATCCGACAACTAACTGGGTTTCGATTCCTAACTTGATCATTTCAAAAAACGGTGAAACAACGAACGAAAATGGCTTGATGTCTCTGAAATTAATAATGCGCCTGGGCCTAGTGTCATTCCATCATGTATATTAAAATCTTAGTTCGATGAGCTGTATGCTGTTATTTCAAAGTTTTAATCAGTCCTTGAAATCAGCTCTTTTCCCTTCGTGTTGGAAGAGTAGTTTGCTTATTCCACTTCACAAATGTGGAAAGAGACATCATATTGAGAACTATAGAGGCATCGCCAAGCTGAGCGTCTTAGGTAAATTGTTTGAACGAATTGCTACTCATCATCTAGCTTTTCCAATTAAATCTTGTATTTCACCATTACGGCGTCGCTTTCGGAAAGGAAGACCTACTGTCACGAATCTCTTAGAGTTTACTTGCCATGTGTTCAAGACTTTTTCTAATGGCTCTTGCCCGGACGTCATATATATGGATTTTAGTAAAGCGTTTGATTTAGTTAACCTGAATTAACTTATTGGTCTTCAAACCACTGGCTTCTGCCTTCTCTTTGTATCTAGTGAAATAGATAAACTCTTATCTATCTGACTTCATATACTCCAAGGTATTTCCCGCGACGGCCGCTTAGAGCCTTTTTCATTTACTCTAACCATCAATGATCCCTCCTCGGTGAACAAATCCAGCCAAATCCTAATATACGCTGGTGTTGTTAACCTGTTTTCTTCCTTCTCCCTGAAATCGCATACCTAACAGCTTTAGGTTGACCTAAACAATTTAATTACACAGTGCTCATTAAATTTTGAATTATAATACGAATAAACTTTAAAAAAATGTAAGAGAAATTCATTCAATACTGAGTATTTCATTGATTCTTAAAAGTAAGGGAACGTAGGTTTGTTCATCGATTGAGGGGTTCTGCTCGATCAAAGACAACGTTTTAATTTGCGTATTGAGTATTAAGTAAAGCAAGATCAGCGCTTGGTTTCATCAAGAGGTGGTCCAAAGAGCTTAATATTCCTTTCATTACAAAAAGGCTATACATGAGCTTAGTCAGGCCACTATTTAGTATGAATCCATTATGTGGTCTGCTTCCTACCGGTGTTATCAATATCGTCCAAGCCAAGAATTTGGCTTCGGAAACCCTTGTCTCTCTACGAGAGTAGATTACTTCCGTTAGCTTTACTGTCACTTGGGAAACATACATTTATTATTTGTGTTTCAATCCTAATTAAATCAATGAATAGTACTGTCAATTCGCCCGCATTACTTAATGAGATACCCTACTTTATGAACTTTGTCCTCATAAAGCTTAGTCAAAGCAAATATAATTATGAGCTTTTCAATCCGCTCAGAGTTGTTTGCAGAAACCTAAACATTATATATCACTTAATCCCAATGCCGGACTCTCTAAATTCTATCAAAGCGCGCTAAATTTGCCTACGTCGTATCTAACTAACTTGCAATTTTATACCTTACTATGATTAAAAAATTAACTACCTTTGTTTATTGTTGCTGGTTGCCAGGCTTTTGCGTGTTTGCAGTGGTTTAGGGGTTCACTCGCAATACCTATCTGTACCGGTTATGCGTGCGTTTATGTGCTAGATTTGTACATGCTTTTTTTTCTCTCTTATTTATTTACAAATAAATTTTCTTCTTTTTTTCGTTACTTTTCTTTATATACTTTGTATTACTTCTTAATATTAATTGCATTAAATATTATTTCTAAGGCTCAATTGAATGCGGCTGCTAAATTATGTTAGCCGAGTTTGATGTGTAAAGAAAGAAACAAATATATAAATAGTATCTCCATGCGTATACACAGTTTGCTCCATTAGCAAGTAGCCCGAACCGGTGAAAAATGGAATTTCTATGTATTTTGTATCCTTCAAAATATCGAAATGTTTTATTGAATGATTACCAATCAAAATGCAACTTTTTATTTTAATAACGATACGCTCTAAACACTATAATTACGCAAATCTCTAGGTTTGCAATGGCCACTGCCAATTAAACTAATATTGCGAATGCCAGCTTACATTGCTGTGGGATTCCCAATCAAACTGCATCGTTATGAAGTTTATGTCTTCTTGATCTTAAATGTTCATTTACATTATTGCAAGCTTCGCCCATTTTCGAACATGAAAGAGCTACGACTTTGTTCCATGAGTATTAAAACAACCACGAATTAGTCCGTACAATATGTCGATGCCCTAACTGGATTGAAAAGCATCTTCAATGGTAAATTCCATTCATTTCAGCCAAGCTTAAACTGTCGATTCTCTTGATTAGAAGCGTTAACAGAATCGCAACTTTCGTGGCCTCCGTTAGATTTTCGTTTTTGGATTTAGTTTTAAATTGTTTAGGTATACACGCGCTAAGTGTAAACTAGCTTCAAAGACTACATATTCCATAGCATCCTCTAGCAATGACTAAAATTATAGTCTAGATAACTTACAATTGTGTATTTCAAACAATGAACAATTAGAAACTGTTGTAGCAAATGAATTTCAATAGCAAAGAATTTAGAACAAAAGAATTTCTAGTAGCGGGCACAGCATATCTCTTAATTGGACTTTCGTTCTAGGTGTAATCACCATCTTCGTAGAATGGATTTCTTAAACCCAACAGTCTACCATCAGCGTTTGTCTGAAATCCATAATCAATGCCACGTTTGCCATTAAGACTCATCGTTAAATTAATCAGTTAGCAGCCCAATTAATAAGTCGGGAGAGGTGCTGCTCATGTTACTGAATTACTTCCGGTAGTTTCGCTGCGAGCGTTTTACCTTTAATTTTACACCGATAGTTTTTTAACATTTTTGCTGTAGTTTACCCGTTTTGTGGTAAAGAAAAGGTGGGGCCTAGCACAAAGTGTCCTGTCAAATATGATTTACATGTCAAAATGAAACTATATTGAAAACCTATTCTAAAAATTCTCTTCGTTGAAATGACTGTATTGTCTAATACTAGCAAATGTTGCTACCTTAATAGCACATCAATCTTCCAGCCTGGAGCTATGAAATGTCAGCACGCAACTTTTTTTTAAAAGTTTACCTAATGAGTAAATTTTTTGAAAATTACTCAAGAAATGATTGGAATTCAATTAAAACGCTAGTGCTAATTTACGCTAATAGAATACAATTACAAGCGTTTTACATTGAATTGTAAATATTTGGTCAATTTAGATCTCATTTTTTTCCAGTTTAACAAGCAATTGCACTTTACGTATAGAAGACTTTTTAGTAGGTGGAGCCGAACCCTTGATCGCTTTAGGGTTTTCTTTGAGCTTGGGACAAAGATTTTGTAAAAAAAGCAAACTTTACAAAGGGCTTTAAAATAAGAAAATTGTGGACGGCACATTCTTTGATTGATTGATTACGTTTCAAATATATAGCTCACAATGATAAGAGACAGTATAAAGCCCAGCTATTTCTTTCGGGTAATATTATCAGTTTACAATGATGATTTTAAAAGAAGAACAAGTAGAACCGCAAATAGGAAAATATGAATACACTGAGTTTTTTTTTTACACGGAGTTTATTTACACGAAATTCGATTCAACACGAGTTAAAAAGAAAAAAATTTTCTTATGTGAATTGTTTTTTTTAACACGATTTTCAATATTCTATGAATTTTCTGGAAACGTATCCATCATGTAAAAAGAGAATTCGGTGTATTTTACTTCATGTCATCGTCGTTATATATTTTGACGCGTTAAATTTACCTGAAAAATCTGCAGCAGTCGTGCATTAAGTGCACGAAAGAAAGAAGTAACCTGTTTCAAGATCTAATTTATCTGCATTTGGCTGTAACGAACCATTACATTGTACAAAAGAAAGGTAAATTCTTTTTTCTAAGTTTCATTGCATGCTTAAATTTATTCCAATGAAAATGAATTGATATCGTGACCCGCATTCAAGACAATTGTCTCCGGCGTGGTAGGTGCACCTAGTCGCACCCATTCTCGTTTCAAGCCGGCGTCTTTGCGCGCTGATTGCAACGCGTGTTGTATTGCAAATATGGAGCTTACCGCTAAACAGCAAGGCGGTTCGCCTGTCGCTTTGGAGCGCATAAAACCCCCAGGATTCGGTACACTTTGTAATAGTTCTATGCGAAAATCGATAGGTATATCTTTCGCTCCTGGTGGTTTATAAGTCCAAGTACGATTCGTCATTAATTGGCCTGTTTGCCGATCAAACAACAACTGCTCAGTTAACCAATAGCCCAAGCACATAATAAAGGCTCCTTCCACTTGACCTATGTCGACATATGGACTTATGCTTTCACCCGTATCCTCTAATATGTCTACCCGCGTGACCAAGTTATTACCAGTTAAAATATCCACTTCAACTTCAGTTAAGGCCAAGCCATATATATTGTACGGTTTCATATCACCTTCTTTGTGATAATCACTCGCTATAGTATTTATATTTCGGATCCAAGCTTCTTCAACTACATCCATCCAAGAAGCCTCTTTTTTCATACTTTCCTTTACTGGTTTTAAACGCTCATTCAAAGTGTTGCAAGCTTTTCGAACAGCAAAGCACACGCTCTCACTGCTTACTGCGCCACCAGATACTGTGGAATTTGCTCCATTTATAGTATCGCTCGATTCAACCTTAACATAATCCAGAGGTATGCCTAAAACATACGCTGCCACTTGAGCAGCTTTGGTATTAATACCTTAAATTATTAAAAATAAATAAAAAAGAAACAATTATTTTTCCGGGAATAAGCGCACCTTGACCCATTTCTATGCCACCATGAGATATGACCACCGAACCATCCGCATGATATATTGAAACCGTAGCTGTAAATTGTCCGAAGTAACCGCAAGGGTATTGCATTATAGCTAAGCCCAAACCGCGTTTGCGCCAACGGTTTTTCTCATTATACGAATCGATTTCTTTGCGTCTTTCTCGATATTCGGTGGATTTAAGAAATCGGGGTAACAGTTCAGCCATTTTATTATCCTTCTTTATATTAATCAAACGGACGTCGGCTGGGTCAATCTGTGTCTCAAAAGCTATATGTTCTAATATATTTTCAATCATAGCAACACCTGCAATTTTTAAAGAAGTTCTATTTAAATTTGTGCTCATTTAACTTTTTCTATCTTTTGTTATTAAATCATAAACCTTCTACTGAACCGGGAGCACGGCACCAAGCTGAGCTAGGTGCGTCCGTTTTCACAGCATTGCCGTCGATTTTGTAATTGTCAGCGGTAAAATCATAGCAATTCTTAACAGTAAGTGTGGCATGGCCGGTAACTGGGTTTTCATTTAATGTACAACCAGCGTCTTCGTAGAAAACGTTTTTCAATCCAACAATTTTTCCATTAGCTTTGACATGAAATTCGTAATCGGAACGACAGGCCCAACGCTTTCCATTAGAGTTCATCATTGATTCAATGGTCTGAATGAAACGTGCGGGTCGGTTGAGTTTATAGGCTACTAACGACGCGGCACATGCTACCGCATTGCCTCGGGTAATTTTACAGCCATAACCTCCACCCAAGCGTCTGACTTTTAGTTGAACTTCCGCTGCTTTTAGTTTTAGCATTTTTGCTATAACAGACTGTGTATGATCCATCCATTGGGTGGCAGACCACACTTGTAGTCCCTGTTCATACGGCACTGCTACACATGTTTGTGGTTCCATGGTAAAATGGTATTGCAAACCGATTTGGAATATTCCACTAGCCGTAATGTCTGCGTTATCACTCAGTCTAATAGCCTTAATAGACGAAGGCAAAATATTATAAACACGATCTAATTGTTCATTTTCAAACACATCCTCCATAGTTGACATTACTAGGTCAGTATCATAGGAGTAGATAACTCGCACCTTGGACGCGGCTTGGTTTGCTATGTTAGTGTTAATGGCGGCAATTATGCCTAATGGTTGATCGTAATAACGTACCGTATCGGGACATAGAATTTCTTCTACCTCATAACCAAAAGCTTGATCTACAAAAGTATTTGTACCGGGTATATCCTTGGCCGAAAAGAAAGCTATAACGCCAGGCATCTTTAAAGCTTCGGAAGCATCAATCTGTTCTATAGTAGCATTCACTTTTGTGGCGGTTACAAAAGCACAATAAACAGTATTACCATAAGTAAGCATGTCATTCATATATGTTGCTTCCCCGGAACATTGTATAAGAGCTGGTTTTTACGAAATGATGAATAGTTGAAGAATCCTTCACATGTAAAATTTTATAAGTTTTATGTTACCTTCAAGTTTCTGTACCGGCTGATTTAAAGGAAAATTCTTCTTATTACTCTCAAAACTTTGAATTCCGGAGGATAACTTTCTTATTAACATAGGACCACCGCTTCTAAATTCTTCTTTAACTTTGTCCGAAGGCGTTGAGTCTAAATAACATTTCAACAATAAGCCACAAGCTAACTTTCGCCTGTATTCAGGTGAAGCATCAGTTAACTCGGCATCAGGATTTAAGACTTTAGGCAATTGAGAAAAAGTCTTCTCTACTACAGTTTTATCATAAAAACATTGCGTTTTCAGCATTTCCTCTATAGATTCGGCATGAATAAATTCTGGGGTTATACCACCAAAGCAAATGCGAGCATCATTAACTTTGCGGGCGGTTGAGTCAAAGTCCAACAAAAATCCTGCGTTTACATATGCATGAGCATTCTGAGCGCGAGGCATTATCTGGCGGAGTAAGTACATGTGTTAGATAATTTATGAAAACTTTTAATTATATAGCAAACCTTGTAAGATTTGAATATGAATCTACTCTTTGGATAAGACTTTAATTCGAAGGCAGATATTACTAATTTCGGGGTGTTGTCGCTCAAGTAATCGGCTAAAGACATTGTTTGTTGCTTTATAGCGCTAGTGTTGACTACGACCTGAACATCTAAAGCTTCGAAAGTTATAAAAATATCCGATGGAAATTCAGGATGCATTTTCTTGATGGAAATATTACCGGCTAGCGTCCCGTTCTTTTATCGATAAATTCGAAAGAAAAGCATTGAGAATTTAAATAAAAATTTAAAAATAAGTCTATTGGACCTTACATTTCTGACGGGAACATTGGCTATTAAGTCGAAGTGTTGCCACAGTTGTTGGCAATATTCAAAACCCGATTTTTTTGATGCCTTCATAAATATATTCATAGTTTCACTAAGATTGAGATTTGCTCCCAATGTTAATGTATCCGAGGTCAAGCTATGCTTTTTCAAGTCGGGAATAGCGTTAATGTCAATGAAATTCTTTATATTTTCGGATCGGCGGTAGACACCATGTGCAGTGTTTCCCCCCACTAACATATACTCATCGATCGTATTAATTTTATTTAAAGTTTCAAAGAGCTCTTGTAGAGTTTTGGGCCAGTACCATTCAGCGCCGTCATTAAACAACAGGGATTTGATAGGTCGCCGACAATGTCCCGAACAATTTTCGTTGATTTTAGGACATGTCTTAGAAATCAGATCTTCAATATCCCTATACTCTGACGGTAATTGTATAATGCTGTCAACAGCAAATGATTTCATTGTATCGAGTATAGGACGATAACCAGTACAACGACAAATGTTGCCCCCAAACGAATTTTCAATTTCATCCATAGTGAGACCGCCCTGTTTGGATTCCAGCAAGCTATACATGTTCATGATGAAACCAGGTGAACAATACCCGCACTGGGTGCCATTCAACTTGGCCAGGCGTTTCTGTATGGGATGATAACCGTCACGTTTGTTGCCAATGCCTTCACATGTGATGATCTCGTAATCGATACAAGCGCTTAATAGCATTAAGCACTGCGCAAAAGGAGTGATTGATTAAAGAGGACGACAAATAGTGTAAGGGATACAATTACTAACCGAATTGGCAGCCCAAGTACGCAGTTCACCTGTCACCGGATGTTTACCTTTAATCGCAACCACACATACTCCGCATCCTCCCTCCAAACACATAAACTTAGTGGCCGTTAGCTGGGCATGTTCACGTATAAAAGTATTCAATGTTACATCGGCCGGTAGAGATTTCAGATCAACTATTTTTTTCTTAAATCATTAGAAAAACAATATCCTTTATGCGCAGGTGTTCATTTAACAATTTACCTGTATATGGATTTCCATTGATTCTAAAACTGGTTGTCATTACTATTCTTTTATTTTTTGCAGTAGCTTTCGATAAATTATGATAGCTTGTCGCTGGATATTTGCAGTCGATTTGTAATACTTGTACTAACGCTGTTTACAAAGATACTAAACTCGTGCTTGAATTTTTATTAGCAGCCAGCCTTTTGTGTTTTTAGTAGAAAATAATTGCTACGCTCGTTTTTTTGTCTTCTAAACGCAAACTGTTATATGTGATTATTTGCCTTGTTGTTATTGTAGCTGCAAGCACAGTAATTTGAGCGTTGAGATGATAAATGCAATGCACTTACTTTATTTAATTTCTTAGTATTTGCTGTTTACACGCTACTATCAATATGTGGAAACATCGGGCGCTTACGTGATCAGTGTTTTTTTTTATGTTTCCTTTAGATGTTTCTACTTTTCGAAATATAAATGTTCATGTTACATTTGGAAGCATAAAATTTAGTTTCGACAGGTTTGACAATTGATCTATAAAGGTATACTTATGTATAAACCTAGCGGTAAGAAAAACATAAGTTTAGTAACGGCGATGGTGATCTCATAACTCCTTAAAAATTAAACCTCTCATCTCCGCGAGAATAGTTGTCTATTATGAGTTGTCATACCTCAGAAAGAAAATTGAAGTTAAGTCTTTTAAGGCTACAGGGTGCGAAACGATTCACTTTCGAATACAAGTTAATGATGCCTATACATAAACTGAATCTAACCCGGATAAATGTAATTAGTTCGCAGTTTTATTGTATCCACTCATACGCTATATATAGAGAGCTTGTAATTTTAATTAGAAATGCGGAAATTCGAAATTCGTTGTAAAGCGTATACTTTCCGGTTAGATTATGTCCTTGAATCCGTGGGGATATATTTGTATACGTTACAATTGAAAAAAAACTGCTTTGCCCACAAGCACGCTTGTTCATAACCTAAATCATATATTAACTTGGAATATCGCGAATATTTAAGGCTTCAGCGTTCCATTGAAAATTGTCAGCTCCAAAATATGGCCTAGGAAGGATTGATTTAAAAATTGCTTGCAGGTCATCTCAAAGTAAAAAACATCGCCATTCTCTCTACATGCTAAAGTTCTCATTGCGATTGTAACACTAAAAAAGTGTAAATACTTTACCCACACGGGTATCAAAAATTCTATCGGGTTTTTTCAAAGTAATATAGGATTAGATTCTGGCTACACACTTCCGACTTGTACTTCTTTTATTCTTATGCTTTTAGTAAGACGACTAGAAAATCGAAGTAACTGTTAGACTGGATTCATTGTATATGACAAATCTTTTTAACAAATGCAAACATACATTGATTTTTTCATAAATAAATTATAGCGAAGTCTGTCTGAAGAATTATTTCCAGCTTGTTTGTCCCACTATCCAAATAACTTCTCTGCGTCTCTAGACTATTCAATAACGAAAATCAATTTTTCCGGATTATAAAAATCAAACCTACTTTCGGGTCGTTAACTTTGGAATTTACTTTGTTGACTTGTCGCATTTTAGCTTTGAATGGTATGTTCATTAACAACAAAAAGAATTCCATTACGTTTTCATTCTCAATAAAAGTTGTTGACATATGGCATGTCAAAAAACTGCTTTTCGTGGCTGTTGAGAGGAAAAAAATTTCAGATGGGAGAGAATATTAATGAAAACTCAAAAAATTATAAAAATTCAAAAAATAAATTTTGAATGATAATGGCAATGAAATAAGTGCTTCTATGCATAACGTTCTTGATTAGATTTAGCTTTACTAAATTATTATTTTGGTACTGTTCTAATAATAGAATATAAACCTACTCGCATTCGTTTCAATTATCTACTAATATAATAAACAAAGAAACAAAGAAATAAAAATAAATAAAAAGGGAACGTGATTGGATCTGCAAAGCTCAAGTGTATATATTTAATATTTTATTGACACATCACGATGTACGTACGTTAAAACGAGCATTATTCATTCATAAATTAATAATATCTACGGCAGAAAAGGGGGTTAATTGCCCATAGAATTGGTAACGCGGTCATACCAGCTTCTTTGATATTTCATTCTATCATGTGAGATTTACGTAACACAGAAAACAACCAATAGAAGGCGACACTGGAAATATGTGCTTAGAACATCTTGTGTTACGGAGGGGTGTTGTTTAGTTCACTAAGCGAAACAATTTTCGGAGGCTGAATTATTGAAATCATCTTGAGCATTTGCACTGTGAAGCGTATCGTTTTTCGAACGCGAAAAGAGAATTTGGATCTTTAATTTTTTAAATTCATTCCGTTCCATCTCATACTGACGGTGACGACGAATTTTAAATATGTCAACCCGCTGAAATTAGCTTCTAATCATTTACAGGCCTAGATTTTGTATGACTGCTGATTTATGAAGAATTAGCTTTGAAAGAAAGCCCTTAGAATTATTTTCAGAATTGATATAAGCGTGAATAAGAGACGTAAGCTTGACAAAAACGCCGCCTTTTTGTAGCCATCAATGAAGGTTGCTCGTTTTGTTATAATGTTTGCAACACCCAAAAGCAAACTTCACAGACCTCTTGATTACGAACGGCACTCCGATTAGATTATGTGTGTCCGTTTGTGTGATGTGTGCTGTTGACACTCTCCTGAGCTAAGAAATTAAGATATTGGCTTCCATTTCGGTGGAAAAACTGGAAGTTTTTGTACGCAGGCTGGCATCGAAAATGCGACTAAGTGATCGAAGGTCACCCGTAGTAAAGCGTAAGCTGAACTCGTCTCTGTTTCTGTAAGCAAAAATTTATGGGTTTTTGATCACTACTCATAAACTATGAAAGAAAGACGCGACGTCCGCATAAAACAAAAAGTGATCTTTTTTTCATGTTTTTTTTTCATTTAACACTTTCCATTTATTACTCATAAAGTAAACGATATGGAAAGTTGAAAATTACTCTGTACTCTTCACATGTACGTACATAATCTATTTAAAGACATGCTAATATTAAATGAACGATGGTGGACGCCACAAGCTGGTGGATACCTTTTGCGCAGCAATACAATCAAGTGAATATCGAATGAAAGGATTTTGAGACCAGAACGTGATAAATTAAGCGAGTTGATTCTAAATTGAATATAGCGGGCATTTTGCACTGCATTTTTCTCGACAATTCCTAGTTTAGAAGCTAAACAAATTATGCTAAAAACTATTTTTAAAATCGCGTTTAGGAAAATCCGATTTCTTACCTAATAAACTCCGCACTTGCACCTCAAGGTTTCCTGTGTACTCACATAAAACGGACTGTGTTGCGAACAATAGGTTTTCCTGAATATAGAATACAATCTTTTATACCCATCACCGGAGCATGAGCAGTACATTCATTTTATTCAAATGTTTCGAATGCTCAGAAGAAAGTTTCAAAGACCCCACAACGTATATAATATATTTTTGATTACCATAAAATTCTGGATTGATTTAAGCAGACGTGCGTGCGTACGTCTGTGTAACATCTGTTGCAAATCTTTTCGTGGCTGCCAATTTCTAATTGGACAGGAACTTTGGAAGTTTTCCCACGCAGATTAGTATTGAAAATGGGTCAAATCGGTTAAGGGACACGCCTACAGTAACGTGTAAATTGAGAATGCGTCTGCTCTTTTAAAAGGAATAGAAAATTGGTTTCACTAAAGCGACCCGAACATGCAGAATCTCGGCAATTTGTGACTACAACGTCTAGTTTTTTGCAGAATCGCAAAGTGACTTTTTAAACATATTTTTTACCTTATGTATGGTATTGATAATGAACACTCATTTAAACGATTGATTGAATGCTAGGAATAGCTCCTATAGAGAAGTGATTGCAAGTGGCTTATATAATTAATAATTGGATCTATGTTGACTAAGTTTTGCAAAACGGTAGTCTTTGAAGCACGGACTGATTTTGTTTAACAAGACTTGCGAGTTAATAATTTTACCAAGAAGGAAATTCGAAGCCGACGTTTTCCCAGTGAAGAGAATGCCATAAGTACAAACAATCTCTTATCGTATGGTGGCAACGATACTTGTGGATATCACGGCAAATTTCTTATGACGAAAGCAAAAATTGTTTTTAAACCGATTCAATTGCGTCAACATTGCAGCGATAGAGGGGAGACCACACTACGGAAACATATTCCAGTATTAATTAAAGCAAAGTTCACACGTCCACGTGTATAATTTTTTTAGTAACATATGGGTCATCCAATTCTCTTGGCTATATTTCAACAAAACTTAACGTAGATACTACATTACTTTATTTGTGGAAAGTTCAACATGTAGTTTATAGAACAAAGTTTTTTATGAGAAAGCACTTCTAAATTACTGCTGATCCCAGATTGTTCAGCTTCTGGCGTTGTGGCAGTTAGTAGCATATGTAATATCTTGTTATAGTGTTCTCACTAATTTGTTCCGAACGCGTAGGCTTCCTTAAGACCGTATCTCTTGTATACAACACTTGCAAGAACCTCTGCGTTCTATGTTGATTAATAATGAATTGATTTACTTAACCCCCTCTTAATTGGTATCCGAAGGCATAGAAGAAAATTGAAAAAGTCCCAACGTGTTTAAGCTTAACCGCGTATCTCTATTGCGAACAAAAAAAAACGCAGAATTGTTAAGAAATTTTCTTATCATACCTTTAAACATTTATGTGTCCTTTCTTGTACACAACCCTTTGTTTTAATACCTTTTTGCTTGGACAGTTCAATCATTTGTCATCTGGTTAGGAGTTATATATGTATATTCGCATGTTTATTCTCTGAACATTATTGTATACGACATTGATTGACTCACATAAGATGCTTATACTTGTAACGCTAAGGCTCTATATGCAAATGCTATAAGTGGCATATTTAATTTTCATTGTTTAGAATACTCATTTGTATATGACGGAAGAAAAATTGTAAGCAAGAATCTCTTTGTAATCAATACTATCGCAACCAAAGCCTAAACTAATGGAAATATTTTTTTAATTATTATTATGAAAAATTTTTTCGAAATTAAAATTTCAAATAATTTATTCTATTAATGTCTCACTTTTATTTTGCCTTCTGTAAGACGACATTCTTTGTCATTTGCTTGAATTGCATTTTGGTCACCTCTATAGGTTGTACCTT